ATATATTAATTCAAACTTCTACAGATCTGCACCAGCTCTCCCCTAGCAGCAATCTCCAACGTAGCTTCTTTGCTGGTCTTAGGGCAGAAAACTCCTCTCTACACGTACTTTTTTGGGAAAGATGACGAGGCAGCTGCCGAAACTGCTGGAAAACCTGCAAACACATCCTAACTCTGAGCACCTCTTCATCTTCAGACAGCCAGGAGACCTCTGAAAGAACCTGGCACTTTGTGAAGCATTGGAGAACAGCATTTTGCCAAGGCTCACCTGGGTTGGAGGAACCGGTGAGGGCTGGTGGGAGGTAGATGACTTTTCCAGAGCATTCAGGCGGCTTTCCAACTTGAAAATGGCCAGCTGAAGGTCTGCCACAACTGCAAGAGGAGGGTGGGGGAGGAAAAAAAAACACACAAAACCACAAACCCCTTATCTTGCAGGCTCTGCATCAGCTCTCAAGTCAGGACAAATTTACTTGTCCTCAAAGCGGGCTTTAAAAGCACCAGTTGCCCCAGTCAGAGGGAAGCCTGCACGTGCTCACCTGGTGACAGACAAAGCCAGTAAGGGATACACCCCACAGAAGCCAGACCCCATCCAGTTTTGCTTTCATGCCAGAAAATTCTCCTACTTACCACTGCAAAGGTTTTGATTTTCTACCTCCAGGTGAGAAATTCTGGAGAGGAGCTCATTTTGGTCCCCAGCAGGCCCAGAAGAGGTTGTGCTTGCGCTCTGCAACAAGGAAAACCGAGATGAAACAAACCTGTTCACCTCTTCGCTAGCTCGGTGGGTCAGTGAAGCAAAGCAGAGTCATGCCTTCAGGGAAGAACAACATTTCAGAGCTAATCTAAGAACAAGGACATTTTCTCTGAAGGCTTTTTTTTATAAAAAGAAGACACTAGCTCTATAGAATGAAGCATGGAACGTATCTGGAGAAATTTCAGCTGGCATTGATGAGCAAAGGAAAAAGCCATTCTCTGCAGTCTCAGATCACAGACTGCCACTAAACATGCACAAAGTTCTGAAAGTTTCATGCTAAAGCCCTTAGCGGGGGCAGCTGGTCTCCTCTTACAGCCAAATTGAGGCGTAGAGCACAGACGTGACCTGCCCAACATCACACAGCAAGTCACTCTGAAAGCTGGAAAGAGATCCCGGCATTTCTATACTCCCACCTTCCCCTCTCCAGCCTTTAATTCCTCTCAAAACTTAAAGCTACTTTAACACATCCTAAGGGAGGATCCAGCTTATACAGATCCAGCTTCAAAAGTATTTGTTTTAACAGGGAAAAAAAAAAAAGCTTTTTTTTTTAAGGAGGCCTTTTATCTGTAAAATTCAAATCAGCAGAGGGAAAGAAAATAACAGGCCTTCACACTTTGCTTTAAGCATCACTGATAACTGAATACAATAGAGGAAATAATTTATACTCTTTCGAGTACACCCTGCACATAATTATAAGGTGGTTCTCAGTTGCAGCTGACATGCTTCTGAGATCTCAGCAGTCACTTAAGATGGAGAGAGGGGTTAAGATGAGGAATAGGTGGCCCATGGAACACAGGTCTGGGAGATGCCCGGTCCTGGGAGACACATGGAACAGTGAGAGCTGCTCCTAGCACGGAAGGTCAAAGAAACCCTTTTCCACCCACCAAAAAAAATTTAAAAAAAGAAAAAAAAGGTCAAAAGCACCACGAACTCAACCTCCGACGCAGCCTTTGCAGTGGATGCAGGCTCAGGAACGCGAGCACAGATCTGCAGCCCCCAGACACCAAGCTGGGAGACCTAAATGCCCTGCTACAAGATCCTATTTTATAGGGTGAGCTATGACCACGTGCCAAAGGACCACTGCTTCTCATCCTAAGGAAGGAGAACTTGGTCCACCTCTCCAAGGCGGGGCTGTCCTTGCCCTACCGACGTCCTCTCAAATCACACAACCAGCTCTATCCGTGCGCAGGTGACTTACAGTTGAGCGGCCTGACTGCCTCTTGGGACGGGCAGAAGGAGCTTCTTTGCTACGAGGAGCTGTCTTCTGCTGCAAAGGGCAAAAGGTTTGGGGGACGTTTGGTTCAACACGGAAGATAGAAAGGGATTTCGCTCATGCTGGAAGAGGCAAGTTCAAGTGCAGGAAGCAGATCCACATGCAGGACAAATCGTCAAGCCTCACGCCAACTACACACCAAACAAAGCCTGCACAGAAACATTTATCCACCAACTCTGCCATCTTCTCTTTAAACATCTCCATGCCCACAGAAACGTCGCGCAGCTGGGTGGCAGAACTAGACCGAGATGTCTAGAGCATGGCCTCAAGTCACCTCCCCCGCTGTAAAAACCAGAGGCGAAGCAGGTACGTGCGTTACTGCGGCACGCACCGCTGTCTCCGCTAGCTCTCCTCTCATTAGATAAAATCTAATACCCGACAGATGCAGAACCACACGCAAAGTTACCAAGACTCTTAACAAGTCCCCAGTTACCACTAAAGTATCTCTCCCAAGGAGGAATAAAGCAACAGAACACCGGTCCGTACTAACAACTCAATGAGACCCCTGCAGGGGCTTCCATCCTCACATGCACCCCCAGAACAGAGGCTGCTAGCCACGGGGGGGTCATCACACCAGGCTAGCCCGAGCCTTATATGCCAAGGACAAAACTTAAACCTCGGATGAACTCGTTGCCTGACCTCTTTCTGTTCTAGTTACACCATCAGGGCCAAGGTCTAAGTTAATTGAGTGAAAAGTGAATGCTGGCAATGGTCACATCCATCCTCACCCCTTGAAAAAGCACTTTTTAAGTTTTGACTCATGAGCAAACATGGGAGCTGCGTCACCTGTGAAGAGATACACCACTGGGTTTTGGTTGGGTTTTTTTTGTTTGGTTGGTTTTTTTTTTTTTTTAACAAAAGCAGCCTGCTGATTCAGCTAAGCAGCAAGCTTATTTGGCAGTTTGAAGCCCTGGTCACATTTTCCAAGCCAAACGCTGAAGCATTTCATCAGGCACGACCATGGACGTTCAAGGTGCTGCAAGACAGCTACACCTACTCAGTGGTGCAGAACAGCCCGCTTTCAAACCCCAACTTTCAGCTTTAGTGGAAGCGTTTCCCACTGAACCCAGCTGTGTCTCCACATTTCTCTTCCCTATTAGTAAAAAGCCCTCAAAAACGAGAAATCTGAATTGAGGCAGTGCCATCTACCTTGAGACTTGTCAGCAGCCATCCCGGAGCCTCAGACGGAATAGGTCAGTGCTGCTCCTCCCTATAGTCCTGCAGGAAAACCATCTACAGCTTGGCAGGAGGCCTCCAGCTCAAGACAAACCTGCCAGCCTTGTGTGGTTGTATCATTTAGGGGAAGAGTTTGAGAAAATCATGACCATTTTCCCCCAAAAACGCTGTAGCTATGGCTTGCAAGAGCAAGGTGAGAGGACTTTGAAACGCTCTGCTCCGCATGAAGCTGTTCTCAACAAGGAAGAGCATGGAAAAATGGCATTTTGATATTTCAACAGACCTTTTGAGGAGTATAAAATATTGGGATACAAAGCCAACTGTACAGTGCTGTCAGGTGTCGTTTCATGGTCAGTGAATTCATGTGAACAGCTCAGTGTTGTGCACCTGGACAAATGGATTCAGAGTATTACATCAGCTAAGCTAATCCTTGTCCAGGATTCGCTTCCCGCCTCCATGCTGTGTTTTTCATGCCTGTTCCAAAGGGAGGTTTACAACACGAAGGGGGCTCTCAGCACTCACAGACGTGGCACGGCACAGCACCCTGGGGAATTCAGATAATCTGTTAGTCCCGGGCAACCCCAGGGCACGGTGAGCCTGAGCACAGCCATCTCTTGCTGGCAAGAAGAGAGGTTTGCCTGCCCCAATCTCAAGCAAACAAGAGATTCAAGGTCTTCACAAACCGGGCCAGCCATCCTTTGGGAACCTGTGTAAAGTACAGTATGAGAGGCACAACGCTGAACCAAGTTCCCAATTCTGGGAGGTGGTCAAGCCACGCTTTCAGAAATTGTGGGAAAGTTGCCTTGATGAGACTGTGGGCTTTCCCCCGAGGTGAGGATTTTTCAAGCTTTTAGAGATGTGGTCACCAACCTAAGCCACACACTATCTACAGTCTGGTTTTCCTCTGCACGACCAAGAACTCCTTCCTCTTCTGACTCAACTGGGCCAAGAAGCAGCTCAACACAAGCATTTGTACATTTTAACAAGGACGGTAATTAAAAATCCCAAAGGTGGGGAGTTCCAGAGCATCACTTCAGTCACTTCCCCCACATCATCTCATGAACTGAGCTCTTAAAACCTTTGTTTTTTTCTAAGCTTAAGCTGTAGTTTTTGTGCTGAACCCACGCTAGTGATACACTGAGCAGTGCTGCAACCTATTCAAAATATTTTGCATAGCAGCAGCACTCTGCAAGCCCAGAACCACACCAAGGACTACACATAAATTTAATCATCCAAGCAAATTGAAGCCCTGGGACTTCTTGCTTATGAAGGGTAGAAAACAGAATCTAGCCTCAGCCTCAAAGGGCTTATCAACATCTGTCCCTCTCTAAAGTTTGACGAAAACGTACTTTAAAAATCAGAGATGAGAACACTGAGTAATGAAGAAAAAATTGGCAAAGGTGACACTTCCCTGTATCAGCTGGAAGAAATCTGTCTGGACAACTACAGGTGAAATCCCTCCCCTGGGCACATCAGGCCCAACCGACAGGCACAGCTGGAAAGCTGGCACTTCCCTCACTACAAGAAGTATCTGGAGATCTCAATCCTTTGTCCCTTAATTTGAGTGAGCCAGTTACAAAGAACAGCACGCAGACTTTACAAGCGTGGTTACAGATGCGATGCGTAGGTTTTCCAGTCCAGAGCTCACAAAACTGCCATTGCTTCATCGAAAAAATAAACTTATTTTGTGCAGGCAGAGATACAACACCCTTCCCCTTCACAGAATCAGAGAATCATTGTCTAGGTTGGAAAAGACCTTTAAGATCATCACGTCCAACTGTTAACCTAGCACTGCCATCCCACCACTAAACCATGTCCCTCAGCACCTCATCTACCCTTCTTTTATATACCCCCAGGGATGGGGACTTGACCACCTCCCCAGGCAGTCCATTCCAGAGCCTGACAACCCTTTCTGTGAAGCAGTTTTTCCTAATGTCTTCAGGTTGGTCTACCTGAGCTCTGGAAACGTGGGAATTTTAGCCGTAGTCCGATACACAAAACGCAACTGTGGGGAAATGATGTTGAAGAACTAGAAGAGGCTTTCCTGCACTTAAGACCAGCAGGATGGATCCTGGCTGGTTTCCTACGGGAGATGTGACCCTTCCCTGCACACAGATGTGTTTCTGAACGAGGCCTCCAAACACTTTAGCAAGATCAGAGGTTTTCCGGGAGCTTTTCTTGTTTGAAACCCACACGTGGGCAATGCAGAAATCCAGAGGCCTTGTAAGAAGGAGCTTGGGCAGAGAGGGGAATAACAGAGCTTCAGATCCCCACACCAGCCGCCTACCCGGTGACATCCCTTTCATTACAGCCACCAGGGAGGGTGTAGGAAGCAAGAGTTCAGTCACCCGCTCTGTTGGATTTGCTTATGATCTCAGGCAAGACAATCCTTTCCGTGCCCCCAGCTGTAAGATCTCTCACCACCCACGGTCTCGATGCCACCAGCTGCAGTACCGCACGCGTTAACAACTTTAGATATCTAGGAAAGCATTAGCGATCGAGCAGATGTCACCTGGAGAGATTGTTTAAAGCAGAGATGACCATGCAAAGCGGGATGAAAGGTATGTGCAAACAAAGGTTTCCAGCATCAGAGCTTTGTACCCTCCTTCGGGAGGTACAAACCGCTGCCTCGACCCTTCTAATGCTCATTCACACATTTCGGAACGCCACCGTCCAGCTGAAACAGATCTGAACACAGCCTTGGCTGAATTTCACAGCAAAAAGAAAGGCACTAATCTTCCATCTTCCCATCTTTACGCTCCTGACAATAACTCTGCATGTTCAGGTGGGATGAGAGACTAAATCCTGACTACAAAAACATGCTTCATTATTGTTCTGTGGATCAGACAGCATAAATTTGGCTTTCTGAAACACAAAACCGAAGTTTAAGCATGTTCTGAAGTCAAGCCTGCTCTATGGCACAGCTGTCCAAGATCAATGATGATCCTCCAGAAATGCAAGCTACAAAGAGGTCATGTTTCAGACTTGTTCCTCAACAGCTCAGTCTTTCTAACTCACACGTTAACACAGAAGATCTGACCATGGCTTATCGCTTCAGGTTCCAGGGCAGAGATGCGGCAATGTGTGGAAAAACTGAAAAGGTGAGCTCTCTGGGGTATCGGATAAGCCAGGGTAAGGCATGATCAGCAAAATGGGGGTTGGACTAGATGACCTCTAGTGGTCCCTTCCAACCCAAAACATTCTATGGTTCTATGACAAAACAGTAAAGAGGTCACTGTCGCCATGGGCTGTGCTTATCCAAGTGCTTACCCAAGCAACTGCATACTTTGAGAGCAGAACGGCAGCTGTAGGTTAAATTACTACGGCATGCCCCTGACAGCAATGCAGATTAGGGTGCACAATGCTTTCCCTAATAGTCATGCGGTAGCACAACCCTTTTCCTTCAAGCCTCCACCAGAGAAGTCTCAGTCCACTTTTTGCACCACCCCAGATTCCAGTTTTAAGGCCCCATGGCTCAGTCCTGACCTTAAATCCTCAAGCCCGCCAAGCTTTCTTCACAGAAGAAAATAAAAAACCCAGCCAATGAATTTTTTTTATATTCAGTGCTAACCCTGACAAGTGCCACAGGAGCGCAAAGGGCTTTATGTTCTCAAATTTCTGTTCTGGCACTTTGCCAGTTCCCCCAGCCTTCCCCATGACAGGGCCTGGACAATCCAAACTTACATGCTTCTCACATAAAGCAGCTCTCTAACAGGAGTCACAGGTCAGGGCAAGAAGCTCATCTTTGGCAAACCACAGACCATTCAGCAAGATGAGAATATGCCTTTGGGGTAGACCAGCAGCACTGCCAGGTGATTCGTATTTAGATTTCCTGCTCCTACTCACCACATCCAGCTCCCGAAGGAGGCAAGTCTTGGAAGTAGCTCATGCTAGACCTTGCCCAGTTGGAAAAAGTCTTTCCAAAGTCATTTAACCCTCTGCAAAAAGTTCTCTAACCTTGTCCGGGATGGGGACTCATTTCCCCACGTATTTGCCTTACTGAAGTCCAAACTAAAAGTCTTCGACAGGAGCTGAGAGTCTCCACTGAAAGCCCAAACATGTTGTTTCAGATCTGAACTTAAACGAGCCAGCTGAGGAAAATCTTCCCTAAGCTGTCAGCTGAAATACTGATGCTGAAGAAACTAGCATTAGAAAACTTCCAAGTATTTTCCTCTTCAACGTGTTTTGCTTTTTTTTTTTTTTAATATTGCTGAGATGTCCCAACTTTCCACTGAGTCCCATGCTGTAATTCAGGACTGCTTAATCTAACCAAATCAAATTTAATCCTTTCCCACCACCCTCTCATCAAATTTGCCCTGCTCTTCCCTGCATCCGCTTCCAAGTTTCCAGTGCAGTAACAAGTATCTTGGATCACTCACACGAGTGGCTGCAGCAATTGTTTTTCTAGCATCGGGTTCAGCGGGCACAGCGAGACTACCACGGGGAAAGCAGCCCAACTCCTTCACGTTCACCCCAAATGTACGGCTCCTATCTGCTCGCGTTAAGGAGGAATAGGAAATATTCCCCTTGAGAAAGGCTCAATTCCCTGTTATTGTACTGATCAAGATAGAAACTGAGGGCATTAAATACCCCAAGAGGGCGTTATGAGGCCGAATCGACAGAGATAAAGCATGGATGCCCTCAGAAGGGAGGTATGTGCAGGTATGTAGTAGTTTCACTGCAGAGGTAAGAAATCAAGACGCAGGGGGTGTATTCTACAAATTTTCTTCACTCACAGAGCAGCTCCACTGATTCATTTAAGAACTCAGTTTCCTATTGAAAAATTAAAGAGTTTTAACAGCGCTGTCTGTATGCATCAGCACAAAAATGTGCCCAGAAAGGACTGAACTTCTGCAGGATGGTCCAGGCTTAAGAGCTAATAGCCAAGCTGAATTCCCTAGATGCAGCAGATGGAAGATAACCGTTTTTTTGCACATACCCTAACTGAAAGCAAAACAGGAAAGAGAAGGTGGCAGCCCAGTGTACCCCAAGAGACACACACATACGCCTGCTGGCAGCTCAGTGCTTTGCTACTCAGCAAGGTTATTTTAGCAATGACTTGTAACTTGTTAGATAAGACTTGTGAGGAAAAAAAACCCTCCAGCATTCCACCAGGAGAAAAAGTAAAGAAATGCACAGTTAAGAGACTTTTAACCCAAAATCCAGTTAGTTTTAAAAAGCACTGCAGGCTAGCAAGCAGGTAAGCAGCATGCACTCTAGTAGCAACGGTGCTCTTGATCGGATGGAGCTATGCTGGTGGTACACAGCGCTGCACACCTTAGTCTTCTCCTCTAACTTAAAAATAAGAAGCCACACAATCTATGAAGTGGTCACAGCGGAGTTCTGTGAGATGCACCACAGCTAAAAATGGTTGCGGGTAGCCAGCTGGTGAGAGAGCTTGGGTACTCACTCCGGCCAGCGATTTCTGGATATTCTCCCTGGCTCTGGCAATGTCGCGTAGGATCGTGCTGGCTCCGTTCTCCTGCAAACAGTGCAGAAAGAACCAAGATTTTTTTTAAAAAATATGAAACATGGGAAACTGGTCAGGGAAGTTAAAAAAAAAAAAAGAGGGTAAGAGTGGGGGAGGGTTCCTTCCAATGATTCAGCAAGTATTGCAAAATTAGCTGCAAGGAGGATTGGTTCAAAATCAAGCAGCACCGACTGCAATCCCCGGTCACATCAGGCCATGTGTCCAGAAAGATCATCCCGTCAAGAGCTTTTAAATTCTCTACTATGACCCTGAACAGTCTGGACAGCTGCCAGCCAGGCAGAGGGTTGGAGTCACTCCAGCAGTACTCCTTTGAGATCTAGGGCTAGGCAGCTCTTTGCCGTGGTGTTACCTGTCGTGTATTCAGGCAAGAAGTGACAGCCCTAACTGAAGTCTTCAATCCAGAGAGGTATGACCCAGAGTATGGCAACACAAGGGGATTTTTTTTTTCCTCCCCTCCCCCCCATGCTCCTGCTGCCATGCCTTCCCTTCCTAGGGCACAAATTCAGTTTCCATGATCCATTCACTCCTTGCCTCTCCCAGACTGCGACCCCAACAAGCAAGATCCGAGACATGAAACTACCCACGAGCCAAGGTTTTAAGGAGTGGGGATCTTTTTCCTTATAGCAGACAAGCGGCTGATAAAACTGCTGCAGAATCTCCCCCAGAGCCTTCACATCACCTCTCGCAGGCAGAACTTCTTCACTGGAAGCTCCTTACGTGGCATGGAATAGTCTCAACCGTTCTTCTAAGAGCACTGCAGAGGTTTGCACTTTAACATCTACTTCAAGCGCTTATCTATAGCTTCTAATTTTTATGCACGTGTTCTGGGTGCTGTGCCACCACTATTGCTAGCGTGGGCAGCAGGAACAGAGAGAGCGTGCCTAGAAGCTATTACTTAAGCAAAAAGCTTCCCCTTAAACACTTGCAAGACAGCCATTTAAAACTCTTAAGCAGCTTTCTACATAACCAACCAAATGCATAAGCAGTTAACAGCTCTTTACATGGCAGGAAAGAGGTTACAATAGCTCTGTATCTTTAAATAGTAATAATTTGGGGCTAATATTAAAGCTTGAGCTACTTCAGGTCAGGTGTGCAGCGGCAGCAGCGCCATCCTTCCCCTCCACCTGCTGCCCCCAACTCACCCATACTGTGATGCAGTCTTCCTGAGTATTTCAAGGGGTACAAAGAGAAGAACATAATTCCCGGTCTCTTTGGAGCCATGGTGCTACTCTTCAAGCATCAAGCATCTCATATATACCCAATATATCCCTGGCCAAGGAAAGCTTAGCTGCTCCAAAACCGCAGCAAAACAGCATCTTCTCTGGCTGAATGGGGGACAGGACAATTCTTCGCCCAGCGTTATCGCCCAGCCCAGCCAACAGAACCGCAGCTCTGGGGGCTTAAAGCTCAAACTGTGCCCCCGTTAGATCGCAGATAGCATTTGTGCCCTGCCATAGCAGCCCAAAAAGATTAACTGCTGCAACCTACAACTGGTTCGTCTGTTGTTACAAGGGTGCCTGATCTCCCGCTACACCAGCTGTACGGGAAAAACTCTTCAGAGTCCACAGCAGATGGGCTTTCAAAAGACAGAAGGGGTCATAACTGGGGGTAGGCTCCAGAGAAGCCTCTCAGACTTGGAAAAAGCAGCACCCAGAGTGGAAAGAACACAGAAGAGCGCACATCCAGGTGGATCGTGGCCTTTTGCCTGCTCCGTTTTTAAAGCTCCAGGCCTCTGCTAAACCCCACCTGAGAACAAGCATTACCTGCTGGTGCGAAGAGCTGCTAACCGGCCCGTTCATCTGCTCGTAGTATCTTCTCTCAGCATCGTCATACTTGTATTTCTCAAACCAGATCTTCTCATGCATAAAGTAGTCGACTGCCATTTTTCTGCAGAAAGGAAATAAAAAAGCACAAACAAACCCAAAGTAAGTTCCTGGAAGTACTTAAGGTTAGCAGCTTGCAACGAGCTTGTCAGAAAAGCGTTTTCTTTCCCCACAGAGCTGTGCCTGCAGCTCCCTGCTTGGCTGTTTCCACTCCGGTGGAAAGCTTTAAGTAAACAGGATCCTATTAGGAAAGCAGGGCAATCTAATCACCCACCCGTCTGCATGGCCTGACCTGCATTTAGTGAGGAGACACCAAGTGGGGACAGAATAAATCGGCTGATCTGTATCTTCTTCCACTAAATAAAAAAGCAGGATTTTTCTAGATCATGCTAGACACACAGGAATCTGCTGCTCACAAAGATGTCTTGCCTATGAGAATCAAAAAGGGAATTCTTAATTCTTTTAATTCTTAAGATGCCTGGCCATGGTGAAACCAAAGACTGATGAATAGGCAGCTCCTGACACTACGGCTCACAAACTCAAATGCATTTCAGTCTTCCTTGAATGCGACTCAACTGCATTGACAGCAACTGTTGGCTGTCTCAGGCTGGTATGTGTCTCTACCTGGTCACGCCATGCTTCATGAGGTACACCACCGAATCCTCCTGCAAGGAACAGCCCGGTACAACACACCCTGCCTGACACCGGCCAGCCTCTGGGAATCCAGATACCCCCACAATTTACAACGGCACCAACAGGTAACTGCACACGTGGCCTTTTGGAAGCTGCTGCAAGTGTTTAGAAATTCAAATCATCAGCAATGCAAGACTCGCAAGGGACAGAGATGTCACTACAACAGAGGAACAGCGTAAAACATCCTAGCGCTGCTGTGAAAGGGTGTTAATTTTCTTCAGGGCAGCAGCTTCCAAAGGTGGTTTGATTTCTTAACTCGAAGGCAAAATGATGGGGCCCTTGCAACAAGAAGAGGATGCACCCTTATTTCAAGCCAGGGGACAGCTACAGAGCCAACATCAGTTTTGAGGAGGTGGTGAGAGCAGGGACGGAGCACCACAACAAAACCACACCGCTACCAGGTTCCACCACGCAACGTGGAAAGAGCAACTAATAGCAATCCGCAAACCCTTTCCTTATCAACTCAAAACCCCATAGCTCTCCAGTAAAACACCTACATGGAAGCCAAGAGATGAGTCTTTTGTAAAAGAACCTTTCTCATCTACCCCTTCGGAAGAGACCAGAGGCCACCACACCATACAGGTCCTCTACGCTGAAGCCATTCCCTCCCTTCAACCCTCCAAGACCCTACTTGAGGTGCCAACCAGTATCATTAATAGAGAATCCCAGTTACAGACAAACTTAGGCCACGTATTTTACGATGACACACGGGACTTTCCCAGGGAAAGGTGAAAGGCACAACCAAATACCCAGCTCTGCCCAACTAAAGAGAAAATGATCCCAAACAGGACAGGGTGAAAGGCACAACCAAATATCCAGTTCTCTCCAACTAAAGAGAAAATTCTCCCAAATAGGATAGGGTGAAAGGCATGCTTGCTCTAAAGCTTGTCTGCAACCCTCTGTATCACTTGACATAAAGATCTTAAAACTTTCCGACAAATCCTAAGAAACTCAAGGATCACAAGCGTCAGAAATAACGACTGATGCTCCGAGAGCCTTTTTTTTCCAGAGACATCACTGCAAAATAACATCGAAACACTGGCCTTCAGACAGGCTGCCAGCTCTCCGTGCAGCAGGGTTCAGGCAGCCATATATAAAAGCAGGTTTTTAACACAGAAATCGTGGTATCATACTGTACCTCACCCAGGACTTCAAAAGAAGCCTTTAAATGTTTGTAAATCAATTTATAACCGCAAGTTACAACTATGAAGGTTAGCTACAATTTGAGAACGCAGTTTTCTTGCCCAGCTACATACATGCTCACCGAACAAGGTATAATCCGGCCAGCCCTGTCCCAAAATTAACAGCAGCTTCCAGACCAAATGGTCTAACAAATGAGAAAGGCAACCTCCGCCTGCAGTGAAGCGAATACAGCACGCGCTCACGCCAGGCTGATGCCCTAAATCGTATTTCACTGTCACCCTCAAGCCTTCTTCAAGCTGGTAGTGATGCTCAAACGTAGCCACGCCTCGCACAGAGCTCAACGACCGGCCTACCTGCTCGGCAGGAGAACTGGGGATAAGCGCTTCTCTGAAGGGCCTCGTGGCGTTTCAACAGGAATACACAGCTAATAAACACCGCTTTAATCCCTCAAATTCAAAGACGAGACGCTGCGGTCTCAGCAAGCCTGCTTAAAACAGGCAATTACTCCCTCTGGCTTCTCAATTTCATGCCTTTTTGTAACAGGAATATGGAACGGGGCCTGGGTTTCCCCCCACGTAAAGAGGGGGCCAAACCTTAGCTCACTTACCAGCCCTGGCTTTAACTGCTTAACCTCTAGCACCACACAAATACTGCCTTTAGCCACCAGCATTCATCAGGAGAAGGGGGCTCCTTGAAGGGAGTTTCCCCCAGTTACCCTTGCCCACAAAGGGGCTCCCTGGCTCAGGAGCGGCGTCTTCCTACAGCTGCACGCACGCTCGGTCCCGCAGACACAAAGGACGCCCCGTCTTCTACACATGCAAATTCTTTCAGCTCAATCCTGACCCGGCGGTTTTGCATGTGTGAGTGTTACCCCAGAACAAACTTCTCCTACTTTGTTTCTGGCGCAGGTACACTTGAAGCACAAGGAGCTGGTTGGGAGGGTTTTACTACTGCAGATTCCTGCGTCCCCGTACTCTCTCCCGCTCTTGACATTTTCAGAGCCTCGGCTGCATAGTATCGAGACTCAGCACGGTCATACGTCGGCTTATTAAGCCACACAGTTTCGCTGTCCTCGTGCAGAAAAAAGCAGGTAGGCGGAGGTTGCTCAGCATCACTGGGAAGCAGAGAGTTGGTGGCAATCTCCACGTGTTCGATGCCCGCTTGTTTTCCAGCGCCGTGGTTCTTCCTGTCCTCATGGTGGTTCTTCAGTGCTTCGGGGCAGCCGCGTTGCTGCTGTTCATCTTTGCCCGACGGATGCCCATCAAACATGTTCTCGTAGAAGCTCTTCTCGGCATCGTCATAGAGAGGTTTCTCTAACCACACCTCTGACATGAGAGCCTGAAAGCTTGAAATCTGTGGCTTACCATTTACCGTCTGCTGTACAGCACCAGACAAACTGGTAACGAAGGAAGAAGCAGAATCAGCAACGACATCTGGAGTTAAGCTTGGCGTAGCAGGAGTAGGCAGGGCTGTAACGTAGCCCTCATCCGGCGTTCTCAGCCCGACGTTGCCAGTGTTCGACCACACAGATGGGATGGTTAGGACATTTGGAGGAACAAAGAACTGAGATTTTTCAACAAACACCTCCTCGGCCTTATCAAAGTCAAACTTGTTGACCCAGACATCCTGAATGACATGGTGACAGGCAGACAGGCTACCGTGGGAGCAGGACAGGGCTGCTGAAAGCATCCTTGGCTTAGGAACATCTTGGACAGCTTTTGACCTGGCCACTAAAGGGGACTGCTCAGCAGTTAGTGCAGTCTCAGGCGCCTCCTCCTTCTGACAATCCACTATTTTTTGCCTGTAGATGTTCTCAGCGTGGTCGTAGAAAGGCTTGTCAAACCACACATGGTCAGCTAACAAACCAGACAAAATAGAGTCTAACTTGGAGGCCACATTTTTGGGTTTTGGCGAACGCTTCCGTTTCCTTTGTTTCTTTCCATTCCTTGCTCTCTTCAGGTCTCCCTTGAATTCACTGTCAACAGAGTCATCATTGCAGACTCCGTTTACAGCCTCCACCTCCTGGCACTCCTCGGGGGCCGCAGCAGCTAGCATCGCTTCTCTTTCGTAATGCAGTCTCTCTGCTTCATCGTATTTGTGCTTGTCTACCCACACTTTTTCTACCGGGCAGGGAGGTTTCCTTGTCCTCATCTTCCAAAGAGTGGCAGCATTAAAAGATAAGCACAATAATGTAGTTGCAGCAAAACTAAATAAAGCAAGGGCATGCATCAGACTTTAGTAATTTCTTAATACAAGAGCATCAAAAGCTATCACGCCATTATTATTCACGGTAAAGAGCCTAAGCGCTTAGTTTGATTTTTTTTTCTTTTGTTATAGATTTTAATTCAAGGAAATTAATTGCCTAAACACATCCAGTTTCTGAAGTCAAAATAACCTACCTCCTAAAATACTTCTGCTGTTCTGACAAGTATTCTGCACGTTGCTATTTTAAAAATAAAGGCACTGGCTGACAGCACTTCATGTTTCACTTTTGAAGGCAACTGGCAGGAAAAAAAACAGTGAGGTTTTGTTCAAATCCCTGGTCATGTGTAAGATATTCTTCCAAATTAGTAGATTAGTCCTTAATTACTTGTTAGGTATTCTCAGCTAGGCACTGGTTTGGGAAGACAGGCTGAAGAAAGATGCCTCAATTCTTGAGCATCTTTAGAGGTGGTTGCTTACACCTCCTTGGTGTTTTGCTCCTAGAAAGCCAGCAGAGGGAGCTGACTGAAAAACTATGACTCGGTTTTGATTTAAAACGCCACTTACTGGCAAATTAAAATTGACCAAGAGCTGGAGATCTCATCATGAATTTAGTTTACCAAAAAAAATAAATGTTCTATTGAAATGAAAAATACTGCAACCGCTTTGTGTTTTCCTGCCCTAGCCATACCTTATTAGAGAAAAAAAAATAAAGTAGCTTCTACTATGTGTAGATTATTGGAAATGGTATAGGAAATACCTTTCCAAGTACAGAATTTACTGTACTGCTCAAATTAATGAGTCGGGAACTACCTCTCTGCCAAACACTACATGGTTAGATCCCTAGAGTTGGGGGGGGAAAAAAGGTCTGAAATGAAGTCCCTGTAAGCCAGGCCTCTCTTTACAGCTGCAAGTTTTACAGCTACAAATTTATCTCTGACAGGTTGCCAAATAAAATTCACCAACAGCTGAAATATCCTCCAGATTTCAGTCGATGGCTTGCAGTTCCAACCGTTCCCGGAAGATTTTACAAGCCTCAAGTCCAGGGCTTGACAGACCAGTAAAACCAAAAAGTAAACACTTGTGCCTTTTTAAACTTCCTATTTAACCTTATGCAGTTTAAAATATTAAAACAATGTAATACTATATTTCAATTATAAAAATGACTAGGAAAAGCTGAAGTAGGTATTTTTTTTTTTCTTACTGGAGTTGTGAAACCGCACCTCCACCAGCTGCTGAAAACACTGCGATACTGCTAAAAACATTTAAAAATACCTAAATTGAAACTTATTTTGAAATCTTGATTTTACTCTACGCTCTGCTCTTGCATTCTGCACCAGTTACGGAGCAATGAATCGCTTCTTACTACAGGCGACTAGAAACAAACCAGTGCTTTCAATAAACAGTAAGCTACTTGTTACCATCAACAGCAAAAACTCCCCAGCTGGAAGCACACGCGTTGCAAGGTAGGAGCGATGCTACAAGCAAGCGCTAATTTGGTTTTGCTCATCAGGGTAAGCTCTGCTACTCCAGCTTCCACAGTGGTATCATCAAGCAGTGAAAAACGACATCACTTAGGTCCTGCAGACCCATGACATGCCACTTAAAGAGCATGCACAAGTTATTCTGAGGTACAAGGACAACGTTCCTGCTGTAAAAAAAAAAAAATAATCATCGAGGCAGCCTCATACTCCTCATCGTCTCAGCTTTTAGACAAATAATTTTAGATATTTTTATATTCTTAAGCAGCAAACAGCATCCCCCTTCAAAAAACAATCTTTACAGGAGATGCCAATTTAACTGGGATTCTTGGAGGGTAACATCAAATACAAGGCAACGTCCGCTAGAGCAATACCCGCATTTCAGTCATTTGGCAGACGGGAAAAGGATTAAATGATGCAAATTAAAAGCGTTGCGCACAAAAGCCCCGCTTTGCAGTGCATCGGTTCAAAACCAGCGGCCATCTGGATCTAGCACAGCGACCTGGCAGCACAAAATCCATGGGAAAAGCAAAAGGCACAAGTGAAGCTGCAGAGGTAAGGCGATACATTCAGAATTTTTTGGTTACTTTGGTCAATAAGGACTCTTGACCAGAACATCAGATTTCTGCATTTGCCTGGCATGCTCTGCTTGGCTCCGCGGTCATGTTCATTTGCGTGAGCCCAAGGAAAAAAAAAAAATCATAGTCTACAGCCTTCAGGGAGATCTTTTATTGAGAATACTTCATTAACCCAATGCAGATGTTATCCTCAGAGGTTATAATTGAAACTGCTTCAGGAAGAATCTCTAGTGGGTATAACAAGAAGCCCAGACATGGCTCAGTAACAGCTCAAACTGTCACACCTTTAAATATTTCATTTGCATTACAGCTATTAACATTTCGCATAGAAAGAGCATGACCACTTGACAAAAATAAACCCAAAATTTGGGGGTTAGTTTGGGTTTGGTTTTTTTTTTAATTACAGGTGATTTTGCTCAAGTCCTTAAGCAAACATCTTCAGGCAGTGGAGTTGCAACCCCCCTGTCGCTTGTCGCAAGGGTGAGGCGCATTATTGAGGACTCCCAACTCAAAGTTCTTTCAAATCAAAGGGAGACACGGGTGGATTTAGTAAATAAACCTGCAAAGGTACACTTACTTCCAGTGGAAATCAGAAAACTGTGCGATAATCCGTCTAGTAAGAATTATCAGATGAGTGCCTATAGTCCCACGATTTTCCAGAAAGTGCAAAACCCAACGTGACAACTAGAGAGTACTTACTTTTTAAGCTCCTATGATAGCATTAAGAAAAAAAGATAAAAGTTAGAGAAAGCTTCCCGTTCTAGAGACGCAGCAGCCAGTCACCAAGGACACAGAATGACAACAGTTTTATCACATAGTTAACTCCCCCCATACATAATACATTTAATTAAACTTACAGCTGGTTTACTCTTCAGAACTACATTATCTTCGTCAACCAACACCACAGACGCTCGGTTAGTTTTAATTTTAAATAGTAAACAATAAAAAAATTTATATATCCCAAAGGATCTACCCATCAGGACGGGGAAGCAAGCCAGGGAGGCTCCCGACCTGCCATACCAATACCATCAGCTGGTGCAAAAGTGAAGCTCAGGTCCCCCAGTTTCAGGTAACTAAACAGCAATAGCAAATACTCGAAAGAATTCTGAAATTATAACAAGCAGAACATCAAACAATGAATTCACACGCCTGTAGTTACTTTTACCAGAAGTTAGCCATCTGTACAACCTTCTATGAAAGAGACAGAAATAAAACACCGGCACCAACACCCAGTCTACAATTTTTTCAGGAAAAAAGCATCAATCCAACATGTGAACACCTGCGGAAGAATTTATGACTTGTAAGAATTTAAGAGCCACACTTACAAGGCTGCACTTATGAAGCCTGACAAGACACAGCTGCTCACATCACCAATTCAACATTACATGTGAAAAAAGGGGATTTCTGCAAGGAGGCAACACAAAGCCCCAAGGCAAAGTGACCACAAATGTTCCCCCATCAAATCTGGCTCACAGGAATTCAAGTGCTGGGGTGGTTTTTTTGAAGATAATTACCGGGGAAAAATCTTCATCAAGGGAATTTACCACAAGAAGCAGCAATATCAAAACCAAGTCTAAGATACTGGCACAGCACCTATTTGTTTCCACGACCAAATCTTAGGTTCAGTTATGATAAAGCCCAGATTTTCAATAAAGTTTACAAAATCAAGCAAACTTTAAAACAAAAGGTCACTTCTACTCCGTGTTCGTAAGTCTTCCCAGAGGAAGATGGGAAGAGGCATCTACAAGGATTTTAATTACCCAAACTATCACCTGAGCTGGCCCAGACAGTCTGATGAGAGATGTGAGCTGCAGACCAGTAACCCCAGACCGGAGCACTACCAGTTCTCCCAGCATACAAATTTACTCCAGAAAAGCCACAAGCTCACAGTCCAGCTTCAGCCAAGCCTGCTGAAGCACGGCACGAAGAGCAAAGGGAGGATGCCCGGTCTTGACAAAGTCTGGTGGGACAAACTCACCTCTTCAAAAGTTTTGGAAGAAATTTAAACTGACTTGGACTTCTCACGAGCCTGCACTGTACGCCACGTTGCTCGCAGCACCGGTCTGAGGCAGCTAAGATTCACCACCGCACCAAACCACAGCCTGCGCGGTTGTTTCAATGCTTTCCGCCTGGTCTTCAACTAACTCACTTCACCTCCTCAAACAGAAAAGTTTTTAAATTAAGAAGAACTTGCTGTGTTTAATGAACACTCTCTGCTGGCAAAAAATCAGAGTGCAGAAACTAGAGCTGAGTTAGAAATCCACCGGTATGCACGCACTCAGAACCAAGCTGGCAGCTCAGGTCTCTCCCCCAAACCGTTCCCAAGACCGCATTCACCCGCTGCCTAGTAACATTTTTCAGATGTGAAGCAGTTTTTCATTTAACTAGTATTCTTTTGGCACAAAGATAAATTAATACTCTGAGACAGAGGCAGCAAACTGTATAAAAAGTGAGAAACACAGATCTGTGAGTGGAGTAAAAAAAAAAATATGTAAGAAGGGTTCTTACTGCACGCACCAGAGATTGGCTCCTGCGTACCCAGGACAATTTTGGTTTTCCCGTGACAGTGCAGACAATCTATCAGGTGTTTTACAAAGCATAAAGGCAAATGCTATAATTAATATTTATCAATGCCAAACAATCAAATTCAGTTTAGTGGTGGAATGGCAGCGTTAGGTTAACGGACTTCATGATCTTAAAGGTCTTTTCCAACCTAAACAATTCTATGATTCTAAATACTCCCAATTAACAACAACAAAAAAAAAATCACAGGTCAATGTTTAGGCCTCCCATGGAGTGTTAAAGAGGGCTTAAAAAACCTGAAAGAAGAATTTTTAATCATAGCTGCTGCTTCAGAGCTTTTGGTGTTGTTACCACTTCACGGGGATTTCAAGCCAGAACAAATCTGTGCCGCACTTCCAGTGCTGCAGGGAAACGCATAAAGTTAAAAACAGGCAGTGAAAATGTCTCTATTGTTGTTCTGTAAATCCAAAATAAGCTTGGGACTTCAGCTATTTGGCTGCATTATCCTCTTAAGTCTAGTTACTTTTTAAAAAGTCAGTAAAACAAAAGCATACAATAAATTACCCTAAGGCTGAGGCCAAAAAAAGAAAGTGAAGTCAACTCCATTTATTGGTTTAACAAAAGCCACTCTTTCTCTTTGGTCCAGAGAAAGTTACATTTCACCTGAATGGAGAGGCCTATAAACGTGAGGGTTTTTTTGGGGGGGAAGTCAGGTTATAAATAGGTTTGTCACAGCCTCCCAGAGACCTAAATTTCATCAGGCCCAATTTCTTGCACTGGAACTGAACTGAGATTTTAATTTCAGCTGTGTGCCAGGCTGACCTGCCAGCTCCCAACAAGGCAAAGCACGTCAGGCAGCACCACGATTTGAAAGCAGCTCTCCCCCAAAAGAATTTTAACAGCTTGATGTGGCTTAAAATATTTCTGATAGCCTTGAAAAAGTATCTTTAGATGAGCAAGAGCAGCAAGTCTCATCCGTCACTCATTTCTGGAAGCTGTAACCAAGAGGGCAAGAATTACAGTTCAGCTCCCTTCTTCAGAGAAGACACCAAAAAGTGGGCATCAGGTGGCACCAGGGGACACAGGACGGTAAGGGACACAGGGCAGCTTGCTGTGGTTTGACCCCAAAACCACCCCATGGACACAGCCCCAAAAGTCAGGCAAGGAAAGTTCTGATTTCTGCGGGTCCAAGCAGCAATCAATTCCAAACCGGTCGCTCTTCCCCCCCCTCCAGCACTGGGGGTTCTCACTACAGGAGATTCTATCCCAGTCCTCCATCTGCGTATTTGCTTACACACCTTGGCACAGCTGATTTTGACCAGGCCAACGGGGTGATATATTTAATGCTCCTGTCCTACCGCGTCTCACACCAGCCTCCCCAGCAGAAGCTCAACCCTGACAGCAACCAGAAAAATAAATGCCAGAAAACCCAGGAAGGGCCCATTTGATGTCAGAAATAGAGCAGAGAGAGGAGCGAGAAGGTCCACAGGCACCGGTCTGTTCCTTTCTAAGGCCTCAGACTGGTACCTGGGCTACGCCAGACCCAAAACATCTGCACTGCCCACCGCTTTCAGAGTGAAATCCTTCTCCTTTTCCCAAAACCACTAGTCTTGCACAAAAGCAAGAGCCATTTCAGCTAGGGCACCAGTTAGACCCAGCTGCCTCATACCTCCCTGCTCTACATCAAAGGAAAGCCATCAAACCCTGCCCCGCCTCCTGCTTTTTTTCTCTCTTTTTCTGGTGATTCACAGTTAAAAGAACTGAGACTGGTTTTACGCCAGAGGGTCTGATGGCCTCTTACAGCCAAAGGGAGCAAATCCACCCCCTCCTCGACACTGGCACTGAGTCAAGACAGGCAGCTAAAGCAAAAGAAAATATTAACACTTGTGTAGTATTGCTCTTCCGCTGCTTTAACTCCCTAAATTGGCTCTCTCCCAACTCACGGTGGCTCAAAGCAGCACAACACAGAGTTGGAGCTAAAATATGAAGCTCCACGCTAACCTTTAGCCAGGGAAAGGACGACAACTCCCAACCTCAGTCACCTAAAAACGTGACTCTTCAAGCAACAACACTGCTGATTGCTAATGAAGATATAACCAAGGGATCACCTAAAAATGTGACTCTTCACTCCAAGCAACAGCACTGCTGATTGCTAATGAAGATATAACCAAGGGCATGGGAAATCAGCAGTGGGGAGAGACAGGAAAGAAGTCACCTTCACAAGAAAAAGCAAAAGTAGCTGAAAACTAGCAGCTTAGGTGAAGAGAAAAAAGCCGTACCTGCAAGGTCAGGGAGAAAGAGGGCACACCTAGAAAAGGAGAGGAAAGAATTACAGCTGTACAGGCAAGCAAAGTTATTTTCTCCTCCATACTGAGCACGACAGGATTGTGAACATCAGATTAGAATCAGTTCCAAACCATCAACGATCTAGATGCAAAAGAACAAATCCATATTGATTTCAGTGGAGGGGAGGAAGGACAGACCATAGCAGCCTCAGCAACTTTAGCCACCACTGTAATCCTTCACAACCCTCCCCTCCCCCAGAGAGCACATTAGCAGCCTCTGCACAACCGCTCCTCCCCCGCTCTGCCCATTCCCCAAATATAGTTTTGAAACAGATACCTCCTGAGTGAGCCATCTGTTGAAAGAAAAAGGAAAAGCCAAAAGAGCAGGAGGGGCTGCCGGAGGCACCGCCAAGGTTACAGAGGGATTGGGAACACCAGGATGCAGAGAGGGAGAGGTGAGATGAGCGGAGCCCGGGTGCACCTACAGAGCAAGGGCAGGACGATGGTGGGGGGAAACCTGGCATTACAGGGCTCCCAGCACCAAGTTTGGAGAGGCAGCTAAGGGTGCTGGGCCACGAACTGGATCAGGCCACTGCTTCAGTTACGAGGGCTGCCAGCTGCTCTGTGCCAGGACAGCAGCTCCAGTTTCCCTTTGCAGCAGGTGACTCAACAAGAAATCCTTACTGAGATGAGGAATGGGGAAAAGAGCAGTCCCCCGAGGCACTCAGAGCTGCTGAGGACAGGGGGTCCCCTAAACTCCCCTCCCTGTACCAGGGTGGGAACTGCACTGAGCCTGAGACTTGAAGGGGTGCAGCTCCAGGTAGCAGGGGTATCCCCACAATCAGCACCCCAAAAAGAGAGGGAACCTGCTCCCCTTCCAAAAGCTGCACAGGTTTAGGGGGACCTCCAGCCCTTACATCGGTAACGGGGTGCTCTTGCAGCCAACCCACCTGGAGCCTGCGAAGGGGAAACTACCCCAAAGGGAGGGGGAGAACCCTTCAACTCCCCCTTCCCTAGGCCTGAGAGGGGAAAAGGGATTTCACAGATAATGGGGGTGTCCCCCCCCAACCTCCTTTCCTGGGGTGTGAGGGGAGAAAAGACCCCACAGGGAAAGGGGGTGTCCCACAACCCCCTTCCCAGACCTAATAAAAGGAAAGGGACCCAAGAGATTTGGCGGGGGGGGGGGGGGGGGGATGCACAGATTTTGATCCCCTGGGACTTAGAGTGGGGAAAAGTAACCCCAAAGAGCAAGGGCACCCTAAGCCTTCTCCCTCAGGACTCTGGAGCTGTGGAGGGGAAGGGACCCCAGGGATAGTGGGGGACCCCAGGGATAATGGGGTGTGTGTGAATCCAGCCCCATTCCCGAGGCTTTGAAGAGGAAGGGCCTCCACAGACGACGGGGGAACCCCACAACCTCCCTTCTCTGAGGCTGTAACAAAAGACTCCCACACAGAATGAGGGGTGTCCCCCCCCTCCTCCCCTTCCCGCCACTGCAAGGGAAGGGTCCCACTGATAACGAGGTACCCCCGACCTCCCCCTTCCCCTGGTCTATAAAGGGAAAAGGACCCCACAAATAATAAGGGGGGGGGGGAACACAACCTCCCTCCTGGGGGCTGTGAGAGGAGAAAGGGGCCCCTCGGATAGCGAGGTGTCCCCGCACCCCATTTGTCACCAAAATGGGGAATAAACCTCATAAAACGGGATATAGCGTTAAAAGGCCAGCATTCTTTACACCTTCCCCTGGTCCCTGAGGAGGAAAGGGCCCCACGGATCGTGAGGGGCTCCCACACCTCTCCCACCCCAGGGCCGTGAGAGGAACAAGGGAGACCCACAGACACCCCACCCCCC